TAGAAAACTGGCTTTTTTTGATATTTTGGTAGGGAATTGCCCAGAAATTGTTCATTACGTTTATGTCTAGTGCCTAGGCGGGGGTTCCATCACATGTAGGCAATTCCAAATCAGCCAAGACTGAACAATATCCGATTTGTGGTTTGGGTCATTGTCTTGGTAGAATCGAAAATCCTCCCGATTTCCAAGTTCTACCGCATTTTGAACAAAATTGGCTTTCAAAATTTCAAGATAGTGAACCTTGTCCATCGTAGACTTTATAAAGTGCACTCTTCCGACGCCAGCTGCCGACATACAGGCCCATACCATGACACTATCGCAGCCATGCTTAGCTGCAGTATTTAGATTCTTCGCCTAAAATTTGCCAACGACACACTTGTGCAAGAATTTAGCTTTTTGGAACACCCTAATTTTGAAGACGAGTCCAAACTTATTATTTCCGGGTCTGATGAAGCCCGACATGTTTAGCGTAAGTCAAATACAGAGCTCCAAAGCAAGAATCTAAATACTACAGTTAAGCATGGCTGCGGTAGTGTCATGGTATGGGCCTGTATGTCGGCAGCTGGCGTCGGAAGAGTGCACTTTATAAAGTCTACGATGGACAAGGTTCACTATCTTGAAATTTTGAAAGCCAATTTTCTCAAAAATGCAGTAGAAATTGGAAATCGGGAGGGTTTTCGATTCTACCAAGACAATGACCCAAACCACAAATCGGATATTGTACAGTCTTGGCTGATTTGGAATTGCCTACATGTGATGGAACCCCCCGCCTAGGCACCAGACATAAACGTAATGCAAAATTTCTGGGCAATTCCGTACCAAAATATCAGAAAAAGCCAGTTTTCTAACAAATCTGCTCTAAAAAACGCTATGGTGACAGAGTGAGGAAAAATAGTCCTATTGGGGAGAAAAAGCTGGTGGAATCGATGTCAAAACGGCTTAAAATGTTCATTGACAACAATGGTGGCCAAAACAAGTGATAATTTTTCTTGTTTTTTCATTTAAGTCAGTTAAAAAATATATTTTCCTAGCTGGTTGAAATAAGCTGCTGCAGTATTTTAAGCAGTATTTCTGTTTAAAAATTTTTATTAAATATTTAAAAAATGCTAAAAAAAAAGTGTTAACAGAAATGTTAAGTTAAAGGCTCACACTACAAATCCCCATTTAAATTTTTATATTAGCTCTCCTGGTTTGCTAGATATATGGTTTTAAAGTTTTTTTGAGGTGCTGGTTGAAATAAGCTGCGAGCCACTGTACATATGTATGTATGCATTTTCCTAGTTACTTCCGAAAATAGAACGACGAACGGCGAAGCGTCTCAATTGCAGGTGGATATTTTTTCGGACTAGCAATTAATTCGTCTCATGAATTTTCGATTTCATGAAATTTTTCACCAAAACCCACTCCAATTTTCATTTCTGATAAGTTTCACAAGTTTCGTGAGTTTTTGAGCTCACTTCAAGGTGTTTATCTCGGTTTTTTAGTTTTGGTAATTACCCACCGGGCGATACCGAGTTGAGCAGAAAGCCGATTACGGTAAAAAAAAATTCCGAGTTGAGCAGAAACGATTTTTGGACATAAAAAATGAACGTCCGAGTTGAGCAGAAAACCGATTACGGTAAAAAAAAATAAAAACATCCGAGTTGCGCCTTTTCCACATAAAAAACCAATGTCAGAGATGCGACAAAATCATTATTAATTAAATAATTTAATTTTTCAAAAAAATGGTTCTTTTTTCAGTTTTCAGTTTAGTTTTTTTTTTGAAAAATTACTTATTAATCATATAGCATATGTATCAATGCAAAAGTGCGCGCGCACTTTTCTGATATGCATACATATGCTATATGATTATTAAGTAATTTTTCTCAAAAAAAAGGTTATTTTTTCAGTTTTTAATTTAGTTTTTTTTAGAAAAATTACTTAATAATCATATGTGATATATGATTATTAAGTAATAATTATTTGCAAATAAATGAATAATAAATATGTAATAATTATATGAATAAGTAATGATTTTGACGCATCTCTGACATTGATTTTGCCCAACTCGGATGTTTTTTTTTTACCGTTATCGGTTTTATGCTCAACTCGGACGTTCATTTTTTATGTCCAAAAATCGTTTCTGCTCAACTCGGATGTTCATTTTTTATGTCCAAAAATCGTTTCTGCTCAACTCGGACAATTTTTTTCAATTTTCTGCTCAACTCGGCTAGCCCCTACCCACCTTTAGAAGGTTCAGGTGGGTAGTACTACCATTAAACCCACGTCTTTAGCCGGTCCTGCATTAGTAAATTGTCTTCAATGTCGTGTTTAGATAAATATGAAACGACTTTGTATATATGTACATATGTATAATTTTTAAATTTAAATTTAGAACTACTAAAAAAGGAAAGGGCCAGTTAACAGCATATATGTACAATTAATTCGGTCGTAGACATACATATGTACATATGCATGTATGTATGTTTTGAGCCATAAGAAATTGGTTCTACCTGGTACCTACGAGTACGGCATATTGTTTTGTTCTATAAGTAACGATTATTTACAAATGTACTCTCAAATGTACTGTATACTTACGCCACTGCCTGATGATGTACAGTGGCTCTCAGCTTATTTCTACCAGCACATAAAAAAAAATTAAAGCCATATACATATGTACATACATACATCTAGCAATCCTTAAGAGCTAATATACAAATTAAAATGACAAATTGTAGTGTCAGCCTTTAATATACAATTTTTGTTTCAATTTATTTTTTAACAGTTCTTAAATATTTAATAACTATTTTTAAACTAAAGTACTGTTTAAAATATTGTATGTAATTCTGAGGTTAAGTCTCTCTGACGCCTTGATCCAGATTTTTTCAAGAATTGGGTTTTCAAAAGGATTTTTAAGTAACAAATGGCTAGGCATGAGCTTCTAAAGCAGCGGCAAGGCACATATGTACATACATATGTACATATATGTACATATACATATACACTGCCGCACAACTGAATAGGTTCATGATATCAGAGATAGTAATTTGTCTATAATTCCTAAACCAGTGTTCCGATTTCCATAATTTTTTTTTCTTTAATTCTTGAATCATATTATAATAAAATGCTGAAGAAGGTTTTTCAAAAACATATTATTTATTCCTTGTTTATTTTTTCTTGATTTTTTCATGATTTTTTTTCGGTCATCTGAATAGGTTCAACCTAAAACAATTAAAATTATTTAAGTAACTAAGGATATTTTTCATATTTTTTGAACTTAGCTGATACTTATGAACATTTTTAAAGTACATTTTAATAATTTTAGTAAAAAGTGAACCCTCCGTTGTCCGATATAACTTCAAATACACGATCGGGAAGCGACCTTTACAAATTGTGCAGTATTTGCAGTGAAATGCTTGTCCAGGCTGTCTCGAAAAAATTATTAAAAAAATAAAGACAATTAAAAAGAGTTTACATTTGAATAAACTAAAAAATGTATTTTTTTTCTACTATTCCAAACTGTAATACATATAATTCTGAAAAAATAATTGAAATACGAATAATGTATAAAAGAGGGAAAAACTCCACCTTCCACATTTAAAGTTTTTGGTAGCGTTTTGCAATTTTCTAAATACCAGCTTAGTTCCTGCAATTGTTTTTATTGGTGAGAATGATGCCGAAGCAGGTAAAACGCAGCCTAAGCAGATGAGGACTCAACAATTTGAAAAGAGAAACATTGTTATTGATCGAATTTGGTTAGCCCAATAGACCTATGGCTAAATTATTTACGTGATTGTGAAGTCTGTCTGTATATTTCTTACTATATTTGTTTATCTCTTCTTTTATAGTTGGAATATTTAGATCTCTGTGAATATTAGTTAAATAAAATGGAGCGTTAACAATTTGTCGCAATGTTTTTGATTGGGAGCGCAGAAGTATTTCAATATTTGAATTGTTAGCTGTTCCCAGAGCTGGCTAGCGTAGGTCCAAACTGGCTCCAAAATGGCTTTGTAGAGGAGAATTTTGTTTTCCAAAGTGGCTGCTGATTTTCTACTTAGTAACCAGGACATTTTCAGGGTTTTTATTTTGAGTTGTTGTCGAGGTGCATACCAAGATACTTCACACAGGTATCTTGTGGAATTACTGAGCCGTAAAGTGTGACATTTGGGCAGTTTCCTGTTCTTAGCGCAAAAGTTATTTGGACTCCCTGAAGTTAATTTTAATTTTCCAGCGAAGAAACCAGGCTTCAAGCAGACTGAGCTCGCATTGCAAGAGTTGAGATGCTTCTACTTAAAAAATTAGTTACAATTTCAATTTCTGATTCATTGACATTTTTTATCGGGGTAACGGGTAGCTTTTAGTCAGTACAAGCAACAATTAAGCTTTTTATTGTTTTTGTTTATTTTTTAGCTTGAATTTAAGAGAACGTTTTCTGATTATCGTTAAAAAACTTTACCCTTTACTTTTTTTTCTATAGTCATCTGTAAACCGCCCGCAGCCGGTGACTCGAGGATGAGCGACAGTCAGATGCCAAGGAACAATGTATAGCAGCAACGTGTTGATAGGAAACTGGTACCATAAGCGCTTTTAAGGCCCAACACAAAATGGAAGCACATTATGCGCAGCTCTGACCACCGAAAAGGAATTCGAACAGCACATGACCTGCAGCTAAGCAGCTCACACAAGTTGTACGACGAACACCCAGGTGGAGCACCATTTCCCTAAGATGTGCCTAGAGGAGCCCGCTAAGATAGAGGAGAAGCCACGGACTTGACAGCTATGGGAACTGCAGACTAGTTTACATTAAGCTGCGAGCTACCAGAAAATAAATGCTTGAGAGGTTTATTTTTCTCAACTGCAAAATTTTAGATCATTTAAAAGACAAAAGTCAGATAAACGGAAGATAAGATAAATAGGTCCAACAAATCTGTTTGGTCGACCGAGTTATTAAATGTTGTACATATGCTAAAGATATTTCAAATATGTCTAGTTTATGAGCAGGATCTAGGGGTATAGACTTGTTTGTCAAGCCCTGTTGTACACATTTACCACAAATAAATTCCTTTTTTTTTTTTCTTATTCTAAGTCAATAGTACTTTTCAACCAACCTGCGGGGATGGGCGGCACAAGCCATAAGTCGCCGGCAGACGGGATGGCGTCGCCCACATACAGCACGGCGGTGTTAATTGGCAACTGGGCTGAGCGTCGCTACGCTGTCCAGGAGCAGAGCAACGCCATCCTGCCGGGACTCCGGGTGAGTGGCTGCGAGAACCATCGGTCGCTCTGCCAAGACACGTACACGGCAGCTCCATTTGCACGGGCCGAGGCGGTCCCCATTTTCGTGGAGCAACGCAAGTTGTCTTACCAGAACTTTATTCGAAACATGCGATCTTGCCTAAACCTTGTGGACAATGAGTTACTGAAGCGAAACTTCACCACCACCAACACGCTGGAGTTCCAGGAACTTCCGCGACTGCGTCTCTTGCACTCGTGTAGGGAGAGTAGTTCGAGTGGTCCTCCAAAGCAACCGGCGGAGGTGGACCGACTGCAGGCCTTCGGAAACCTTACCAAGACGTACAACTATTCTGCTCGGTTCAAGTGCGAGAAGTTGCTTGACGAACTCAGCAACATGCAAACCACCTACTCCGCCAGCTTCAACCGCCCGTGGAAGAGTGAGCCCATCTTCGAGTACGGTCCAGACTACGACGGAGTTGTCAAGTTCGATTTGACCTGCTAGCAATCGAGGCGAAAAAATACTCCTTAGGTGGGATAAAACGACTGTGACTATGGATCGGCGAAGTGCTTCTCTGTCGCTGGTTCTTTGCCACATCCTAAACCAAAAATTTAAACGTGCTACAAAAGAAACTAAACTCTTATATTACAAGATTCAATTTATTTTAAATCATTTTCTTGTATAATAATATGGGCTTGTATTTAAGTAGTTCTATATTTTGGATTCCAGAAATTCATGTTTTTCATTTTTTTTTACTTTCCTTTTCTGCTTCGGGAGCTATTTTTCAGTTGGTTTCTGTTTACTTTTGAAAATTAGTAGGTCGATAGATGTTTACAGTACATTTGCGTTTACCTTTTGCCTTGTTACAGAATATATATTTAAATATTAATTATTTATTACAAAAAGTAAAATTTTACGACATTAAACTAGACGACGCAAGATATTGCATAAGTTTACTTGCTTAAATATTTTATTTTTGACTCGGTAATATTTGCTTGCCTTAAAATCTTATTTATTCTTTTTTGAATTCGATTAATTTTGGACTGCCATGATAGGTTTCTTTTTGTATTTCGTGAATTTTTTTTTATTTTTTGGCTGACGATTACGTTAAAAATGATGCTTAAAATCTAAACCAATGGAAATTGTATGGGGTTGAGTGTGGTGGAAAGTGTTTGGTGGTTGCATGTTTCATAGGGGTTTTTTTTTGGGTGTATGTAATTTTAGGATTACTTTTAGTTTGGCTGGTGTAATGAATTTTCTGGATATATATTTGCATATATAGTGCTTTTGATTTGCTTATAACAATTATAATTTTGAAATTTGGTTTCTTTTTAAGGTTTATTTATTTTTTGTTGATGGTGAATTTTGTTTTGTTTTTCTTCCCAAACTTTCACTTTTCGTTCATATTCAAAGTCCCTTACCTCTTTTTGTGTCATTTTGTGTTTTTTTTTTTTTTTTGAATTTCCCTTACATTAAATACCTAAAGTATTTTTTTTTTAATATTTCTTAATTTTTATGTTAAAAATGATGCTTATACATTTGGCTTAAATTTAAATTTTGGTTTTGGTTGCTCCGAAAAATGTAATCAAACGTGAATTTCCATTAAATAGTTGCCATGACTCGAGTATACCTTGTTTTGTGTAATCAATTTTGGAATGACCGAGATTAGTTGTTTTATCCGTGATTTTTGTTTTTTTTTTTTTTGAATTGGCCGAGAAGGTATACATAATTATTTTCAATGTTTTTTTCTTGTATTAGTTCGTTCATTGCCATTGGTAAAGTCACCATTTCTTTATCAGATTTTGTTATCTAAAGTTTTTTGTTTTCGCCGAACTCCGTTTTTTTTTGTCACCAAAGAGAATCCTCGTAACGTTTGTTATGTACTTTTGAAGAGTTTTCTTTCTAGATTGTTATGTAAATACGTTTTTTGAATAATTATGAGGTTTATTTATAACGTCCTTTTTTTTGAATCAGCCGAAATAAAACTGGAAAATATTATTGTAACTGCCAGTGTTTGTTATTGTATTTTTCAGAATTTGTTGATGGTTAGTCTGGTAATCGTAGTTGTTAGTGTAAAACTAAATTTGACTGTTAGCCATTAACTTAGGATTGGTTTAGATTAAAAATTAACACTTAAGATACAACATAAGTGAACAAACTTAAGCATCATAAGTTTTTATTAATGTTGGTAATCCAGTTTTATTGTTTAGGTGCAATCTGTTATTGATTTTGTTGTACCAATTAATTCAATTTTTACCAGGAAAGTGAGATTGTTGTTTTCTTGTTTGTCTCTTGTAATATAAAAAAGTTTTGCATTGGTTTTTTATATATGTATAACTTTGCTTTTTACATTTAATCCATTCAAAATAATACAAATTCAAATATAAAAATGCTTAACAACTTTTAGCTATTGTTACATCTGCTCTATGTTTCGCTTTGCCTCTTTAAAAAATATATGTATATAGGTAGTTTGCTTGTTCTTGATTCTGTATGCTGTATACTTTAAATCGCCTCTGTCGGTATTGCGGTATTCATTTTTTGATTCGGTTAATCGGCGTTACACCTCGCTATGTTCTTCTCAACATTGCTTATCATCTGCTGCTGCTCCATTGCTGCTGTCTATTAGTTGCTCAATTGGGGTTTGTTGTTCTTGTCTGTTGTATAAAAGTCGGTCAATAAGAAAATGTGTTATTATTGTACTATGGTTGCTGCTGCTGCGGTATCCGTTGCATTTGTTGTATATGTTGTAAAATAAAAGACATGTTTGGTTTATTGTTAATTACTTGTATCAGGCTATTGGCTATTGGCTGGCCCAGGGCAGGTACGTGTCCTGATCCTGGCAGTATAGTATCACTATTGCTTTGTTTGATTCTATTTTGGTTTTGATTCGGTTTGATGGTTTTGATTAAAACGTCTGCTTAACAAACAAAATATCTGTTAATCCTCAATTATGCTCTCACTTTCTGATAAAAACAAATTTCGTTCTTCTGGGTAGGTTTCAAAACATAATCTAATCGGATATAATAGCAGTGGTCATACTTTTGCATGGATATGTTGCGTTCAGTGACTCAATGACTCGTACTGAAAATTCTTGAAACTTGATCGTACCTTTTTGTATTACATCCCACTTGAACAGCTTTTGCTCACATGATTCCTGCTCTCTCATTTCTTGGTGCATTAGCTATTCGTTAGCAAAATTAGTGAAATAATTGATTTACTTACTTTGGTACTATTGCGTTTGCAGTTGCAGTTTGTGATTGCTTATGTACAGTTATAGTTGAGTTACAATTAATAATAAGTGCATTCCTGCTCTCTGTCGGAGCGAACCGACTCTGATATTTTCATAAATAAAATTTGTTTCTATTGACTCTGCTCAGTTATTATTTCTATGGTAGTTATTAAATGGTAGTCCCTGTCAATTGTTCATAATAATTACAAACGTATATATAAAAAAAATATAACATAACAAATTGTGTTCGGTTTGTTCTCTTATCTGATTTAATCTGATCCTTCGGGTTATTGAACTTATCGTTTATCATTGCATTTAATGACCCCATCCTTTTAATGCCTGCTCAACACTTTGGCAAGCGCAAGTTTAAAAATTATTTTTTATTTGCATACATCACTTAACACTTAATGGAATATACTTTAATGTCTGTTAAGTAAATGTTACTATATGATCTCCATATTAGTTTGTTTTTCGGCGTTTTCGTCGATCCTCGTCGACTTTTACTATTTTTTTGGTGTTTTTTCAGTTGTAAGCTGTCTGATCGATTTTTAGTACTGTTGCTATTGTTTTATGGCATTCTGATTTCAATTCTATTTAAGAGCTGTATTTATATCTGGTTTTCCTGTTCTTTGTAAAAATTCTGTAAAATATTTTCGGTACTATTTCACTTTGTTTATGGTTTGTTCCTGTTGCAAAAACAACATTCCGTATCTAATATAAATAAATCATTTTTATTTTTCTTTTGTAATAAATTACTTGTTCTATGGGCACATTGTGTCTATTGCAAAAACGAACCTACATGTAGGCATAGATTAAGGCTGGACCCTTAAAAGTGTACTTTAAAATTGCGTCAATTATAAATTAGCTTCATTTCTATGAAAACCGTACGGAACTTAACTTTGATACAGGAAAATAGCACAGTAGTATGCTTTCAAAACATCAGCTAGTACTTATACAGTATTGATCCGTAAAGGTTCTTAAATAAAGGAAGAAATAAAGGCAACCTCCTTAAAAAAAATGAAAAGAATCGAAGGGTAAAAGGATCCAGTTCATTATCTGTGCCTATGCTGGTCTAAATTTCTGCAATAATTTGAATATAGAGTTCAATATCGCCAGCTTAATTAACAACTAACGAGGCTATTGTTGTTTACGGTTTTTTCAAATGTTTCCTTTTCTTGTTTATTTTTAAGCAAAAAAAGGGATTGGTTGGATTTTTGCAATGTCGGATCAGTTTGTTACTGGCATTTAATACAATTAAAAGTCTGTAATTCCTCCTATTTACTCAGCTGGCTGCTGTCCCAAACTTTTTAAGGTTAAGTCAAATATAAGTAGATATATCATATATATAGAGAGTATGCCTTAAATAGGTTAAAAAATATAATACACCATATATATTAAAGTTTAGGGTTTTCCATATGCTATACGCTATTTTTCTTTGATCTTGTAATCATTTATTTTACTTCTTCTCTTGCTTTGGAATTTGATTTTTTTAGTATTTTGCGTGACATTAATCCTTTTCGTTCCTTGGTAATCGCTTCCCCTCGGACATTTGGAAATTTAACTAAAAATCTGTTTACTCACAATTTTTTAATTAAGTCAAACAGCTTTTAATGGGCTTTTGAATCTTTGATCATTGTCATTTGTATTAAGAAATTTCAGTATTATTATTATTCTTCTTTTTTCCAATTAATGCTTACCGTTGCTATTTCAATGTGTATTTACCTATTTTTTATGTTTTCTTGCTGATTCTCTTGAATTATATTTTGTTTGTTGGTTGCATTGATTCTTGGTGGTTGACTTAAAACTATTATCACTATTGCAGAAAGCGGCTGTACTCAATTATAATGCATTCGCTTCTGGAAATTGTGAGATGGAGGGTTGGGATCTTCACAGATTGCCCCACCCTACATCCCTTACTTTACTTTTTCCATCTTGCTTTGGTTGTATGTTTGATGTAGGCATTTTCTATGAATTTTGCATTGTCACAGGGATATGACTATATTTTGAGTCTGAAATTTAAGCCAAAAAAGTGGTAATTTGTTTACATTTTGTCCAATATTATTCTGATATTATTTTTCTTTTATCTGAAGTATTATAGGTTGTTGTACTTGTATTATAGTTTTCTTTGTTAGTTTTTAAGAAGAAAGGATTTTATTTCATTAACTTTTTTCAATTTCCAGGGTGTAATGGTTTTTTTGTTATCGAAACGCTGATTTCATATTAATTTACTTCTCTCATTTGGATTTTTTCGTCGATTTTGATGTGCCAAGTTTGTTGTATTTCTATGCCTCTGTTTGTGTTTGTGTTTTTGGATTTGCTTTATGGTTACATTACTTATGTTTACTTTATATGGTTTTCGATACTGCAATTAAAATTTCAGCTATAAAAATTACTTGTATTTGTACTCTTGGTTATTTAAATTGGGCTATTGTTTTTGTAAGGTATGCTTGTAACTCTGTTTGTGTTTTTCTATTTCTTTTTTTAGCAGTATTTTCCTCTGCAGTATGTATCTTCAGCTATTTATCTTCTTCGACTGTTTGTCAGAATTGTTTATTGGTACGCTTTGGTTCCGGTCTAGTCTGTTCGGCTGGTCATTTTGTAGCCCCTTTATCATTCTAGGCTTACTGTCACCTCGGGAACTACCCCATGATCAGTTAAGTGTTACATATTCAAACACATATGAGTGCGGTGTATATACTATATTTGTCACGGCCGGTGTTGTCATTGGTCTTCACTAACTCCTTAGGCTCTTTGGAAGAATTCCAAGAGCAAGATTCCACTGAAGCAGCTGATTTACCGCCCTGTGCAGCTTTCTTTCAACTCATCTTTGCTATGAAATGTTTTTAGCAACTATGAAATCAATGAAAAAATGTATAATTAAAATAAAAATTTTAACTTAAATAAAATCATATTAAAGTGTAAGTAAAATAGACTAAATCAGTTCACAGAACATCATGGGAGAACGCAAGTCTCCCGAGTTGGTCTGCAAAATAATTTTGGAGCTTTTGAAAATTTTGTTCTTAGTCTCTGTCTTTATGCTAGATTTTGTTGCGCCTAAATTTATGTTTTTGTTTTTGATTAAGTGCATGCTTTAAATTTTGTGTTAATGCCTAAAATGTACAAAAGTTTTACGTTTAGGTTGTTTTGTTTTTATTTTGCATTTATCACAGCGACATTCAGTCTAAATTTTGCTTTTACTGGAATTATTGCATAATTTGCCATAATTTCGATTTCATCAACTATTTTATTTGTTTTTGTTTTTTTTTTTAACTAAAACTAAACATAATTTTGATTAAAGCCAAAAGGTTCGTATCTATGTTCGTCGTTTGTTCGTATCGATAAAATTTGTTCGATTTTTTAAAGCCGAAAGGGTTAATAAAATTTTGTCTAAAAGGCCTAAAGAATTGCTATAGCTTAATGTAAAACGTTGTATTTTTTATAGCAAATCATGCTGATCGTTCTGATCAAATCGCTTTGGTCTAATTCCAATAAAAGCCACCATAATGGGTACCATATAAATTTTTGGATGTTGTTTGCCTTTGTGCCAGAGCATGCAATATTTTTACACTTAACTTTTTTCCGCTATCAATTTTGATTTAGAGTGGATCTTTAATGTGCCTAAAAAGTGGTTTTAAAATTTTGACTAAATCGTTATCGTTACCGTAAGGTGTTTATAATTATTTTACAATGCCGAAACAATTTGTTCAAACTATTTATAAAACTTTTGTTGGTTGATTTACATACAATTACGCCGAAACATGTTATGTACAATTTTGAATGAGCCATTGTTGCCGAAACTTTTGCCAGCGACACTTTTATCACAAAAACCAGACGCCTGCCCAAGCCGAAAAAGTCGTAGATTTGTATAATGCCAAAATTGTCTGCGTTACCCCGTGTACAAGGGAAATAAAAAGAAACAGACTTTGATATGGATCGAATTAATGGAAACTCAAAGAAAGATATACAAACACAAAATCACATAAATCATATAATAGTTTTATTGAAATAATTAAATAATAAGTTCAAACAAATTTGATAATCTTCAAGTTCTAAAAAGTGAAAACAAGTCGTATTCGAAGCTCTTGCTTTGATTTCAATAGAAACTAATTTGACTAATCGCTAAATTTCTTAAATAATGAGTAGATAATTGATAAGGTGAAGCGGCTAATCTAAAGTTAATTTCTGATCCTTCTCGATTTTTTACATTACATAAAATATATATATACTTTTATATATAAATATGTAGAAAACATATACTAAAAGATTAATAACAATCATAAATGCTTTGACGGTACATTGGAAAATTTGATAAGAAACTAAATTTGTCGGTTATATCCACACAGTTGGCAGGGGAAGAACTTAGATGGTGGGGGTCGGGTGGTTGTATATGTTGGATCAGATAGTATATAGTATAGGTCGGAAGCATGGTAAGTGTTTATCCATTAGGTTTTGACTATTGTTCATTTGTATGGCACCTGAAGAGTCACATTTGAATTGCCTGATATATAAACATGATGTTCCTCGCTCATTTCTTCTGCCTGCCCCGTGGGTGTGCAATTGTGTGGACATATTTGGGTTCAACGTATGCCTAATTACTAAATAAAAATTCAACATAAACTACACATAATTAGTTGGGGAAGACAACAAATGAATCCTAGGTCAAAGTACTTATGGATTACGCCTTAAATTTGATTTTTCGTATCTTTAAATTGCATTCCAGTATTATTTTATACACTTTTAAAAATCACATGTCAATTGAAATGAAAAAGAAATTTCTAATAAAAGTTTCGTGGCCTTGCGGTGCAAATTCCCTTGGCTTAGCCAAGCTACTCGCTCAGCGATAGCCGATCAATCGTATTTGTCAAACATAAATTCTAATTCACCAACATATCTAAAATACAGAACTAAAATTTAGAGATGCTGCTTCGAAAACAAATTGCTCAGCGCCAACGTCCGCGTTTCCCCTTCTTCGATTTCCGACCCCATTGTTTGCCCCCAAACAGATCCTAGCTGCCATATCTATCACGTCGCATGTCCAGACTCATTGCATCTGAGTTACCCTAACTTCACGCCTAAATCGTATATCTTCGGTCGATTGTATAGGATCAAGGCTGGCGAACTTTGCATCCACTCGAGTGTCCGTGTGCTTGTGTACATATAAATATTTGATGTGTTTGTAGTCTTTAAGATTCTTAAAGTGGTGCTTAAAAAAATTATCAAAAGGAATCGTATAACGTTGTGTTTGGCTCTCGGCTCTCCTCATTCTGCACTGCGCTTCTCTCAAACGTCCACCACTCGCATTTCATGTTTATGGTTTATATCAAAGGAGTTTAGAGTCCTTTTCAAAAAGACTAGTACTCGTCCTGTTTGCCCGGATGCGTCCCCTCTGCTCGGATCCTCGCGGCTCGTCCGTTCGGTCGCCATTACCAAAACTGTGTTTTGTGGTTTGAGATTAGTTTTAAAAACTAGGAGAATTTGTAAGTGTGTGTCTAAAACTAGAGAACTTATCGAACCTATGACGTATGGTGTACAGTGTGTGTTCCTCGACTTTGAGTTCCTGCCTCCTCCTCCTCCTGCTCCTCCTCCTATTGCTGCTCCTGCTGCTGTCTCTCCTACTGATGACATCATAGTGATCCGAATATCGAGTGTATGTGTGGATGAATGGGAATCGCGTGTGACAGAGTAGGGGGCGGCGGGGGCGCGGCCCCGTTCGCCACTCCCGGATGGCCTGGATGCCCCGGATGGCCCGGGTGGACCGCGTGGGTGGCCGGCGGCGGCGGCGGCAGCGTGATCGACAGCGTCACAGTCTGCGGCGCCGCCACGGGCGATGCGTGGGCGGATGAGGGCGTGGCCGCGGTGACGGCGGCGGCTGCTGCTGCTATGTGGTGGGCGGACGACGTGGGCGGCGGAGGCGGCGGCGGGTGGTGTTGCTGCTGCGCCGCCGACGACTGTTGCTGCTGCTGCTGTTGTTGTTGTTGTTGTTGTGCCCCAGCTGCTCCAGTGGTGGGATGTCACTGGGCCACCACGGAGGCGGAGGCGTTCTGCTGGACGACGACGCCGGGGGCCACCGAGTTGGCCACCGTCACGGTCACCGGCGGCGTGGGTCCTCCGTTGGCGTGCGCCACGCTGGGCTGCTGGGCCTGCTGCTGCGTCTGGAAGGGATGCTGGAAGGGCGGCCCGTAGCACTGCGGGAAGTACAGCTCGTTCTTCACCACCGACTGCTGGACGACGGCGGCGGCCGCCGCGTTGGACGCTATGCTGCGCACCGGAAGAATGTTCGCCTTGTTGTCCACCGCCGACGGGTTGTTGTTGTTGAGGAACTGCTGGGCCGCCAGGCTCTTGGCGTCGTTCATCAGGTGATTGGCCACCGAGGCCACCTGGGCGACCGCGTTGTTGTTCTGCTGTTGTTGCTGTTGCTGCTGCTGCTGCTGCTGCTGCTGTTGCTGCTGCTGCTGGTGTTGCTGCTGCTGCTGGCGACGCACCTTGGTGGTGTTGGGGTTCATGTGGTTATCGATGTGCTTGGTCACCTCGTTCTCCGTCGCGAAGCGCCGACGGCAGTTGGGCATCGGGCAGCAGAAGGGCCGATCCCCCTGTGTGGCAAGGTAAGAGACAACGGATTAGCACTATGGTCGGGCTGAGGCACTAGGGAACTATTTCTCGATGCCATGTTGGGATTTACATTAGAGCATCTCAAAAACGCCAGAGCTCGGAGTTCACCGGAGATACTTTTAGGAACACTTTCGACTTCTAACCGCCATCAAATGAGGCGTTATATAAAATGTCATAACTTTGAAAGTGTAAACTATTGAACGGGATCAGTTTAAAGTTTGAGAGCCTGTGCAAATCAATATGAACCTACTATTAGTGGGGAAACCCCATAAGATAACACTATAATTTTGGACAGTGAAATTGTTTTAAACGGTTAATCGGATTTAACGTTGAACTAACAATGGTTTGTCTAAGATAACAGTGCGTATAAGCGACTACTACCCACATGACCTTCCATTAAGATATATTTAATACCCTCGAAGACCGATCTAATTGAATTACACATGAATAGAATTAATGTATAATCTTGTACCATCCCTTTGTTACAGTGGCGTAGATAGGGGGGATCAGGGGGATCAATCCCCCCCCTTGGGTCTGAGAATTATAAGATGATAAAATCGAATTTTTCCCAGGCATGTGTTTTAATGTAAGCATAACATTTTTGAAGCGCCAATATTTATTTTGTCTCAATCTGCAATACGGCAATTAATGGTAAAACTCTCAAAATTAAAAAAGAATTTTTTATTCTGAGTCATATCCCCCCCCATATCAAAAAGCTATCTACGCCACTGCTTTGTTAACTCCTATATTTACAACCTGCTCAAGCTGCCACATAGCTGCCCCTTAATTATTAATTAATATACACTTTTTACTTTTTTACTGAAAAGATTTGTAGGCCAATGCCGAACCCTTGAGAGGCTTAAATGCCCCAGAGCGCTCTCAATAACTGGGTGCTGAAAAGGGACCTTGTTCTGAGAAACTTGTATCGCCGTTGTGCTCTTGACCTCTACTCCCCTCAACATGGCATCGAGACAACGCGATTCTGTGTCCGATCGAACAGCTTGACTTGCGGGTGGCTCTGACTGACAGAGGCAGGCTACAACTACCTGGTGGGTGCGCGTGTGCTGGTCCAGGATGGCCTTCTGCCGGAAGTCCTTGCCGCACTGGCCGCACTTGTACGGCTTCTCGCCGGTGTGGATGCGCAAGTGCTGGTTGAGGATGGTCCGCTGGCGGAAGAAGCGCGGACAGTACATGCAGCCGAAGGGCTTCTCGTTGGTGTGGATGCGCAGGTGCTGCGTGAGGTGCGACTGCTGGCGGAAGCGCTTGCCGCACTCCGGGCAGGGATAGGGTCGCGACTCGATGTGGATGCAGCCGTGCTGCAGCAGCGTCGTCTTCTGCTTGAACTCCTTGTCGCAGATGGGGCACCGCACGTAGAGCGGCATGTTCGCCGGCCGGACGCCGATGTGCTGCAGCACCTCGGGCAGTATCTTTTGGCCTGTGCGAGGGTCTGATTAGAAGGTAGCCGCCTCCAAGCGCCCCGCTCCCCAGTACTCACCCTTGCCGTCCTTGAAGTACGAGGGGTAGTGCATGCCGCCGCTGCCGTCCGGCGTTCCCTGCGAATCCTCGTCGTGGTAGCCACCGCCCGTGCCGGCGATGTCCCCCTTGGTGTCGTTGTCCTCGCCGGGGAAGGGCACGTCCGAGGGCCACAGCGTCGGGTGCGGCCCGTTCTTGAAGATGAGGTGCGGCGAGACGTCTGTGGGGGGACGTGTTGATCCGCAGTCACATGCAAGTAGTCAAGCGAGAGAATGCCACTGTTAGCAGCGCTTAAACTGGCGCGCAGCCGAGATACAAATCTTCGAAAGAACTGCCTGGCGTTCTGCTACATAGGGACGGATGGATGGGGGGTTTCTTTAATGGCTGCTGGCTGGCCGAGGCGAGTGGAAGGTGGGAACCGTGCTCTTCTTCCCGAGGTTAAGTTTCGCACAACGATCGTTTCAGGTCTGACTTTCGGTTCCGGCCTTCCGTCCTCGCTCTCGGCGAGCCGAGCATCCAGATGGGCATTACAATGGGGACAATTTCGATATGCGGCCAAAAGTGCGTTCAATTGCAGAGAGTACTAAATTTAGCAGGGAAATCGGTTGCCAAAGGGGTGAGACGAGCCGAGCCGAGCCCGAGGACCGGCCGGCTGCACCTAGCGGGGTCGCTCCTAGCACTATCCCTATTCGAATCTGTATCTGTATCTGCATCTGCATCGGTAGGTTAGTTATCTGTATCTGTCGCTCGCCTTGGTGGGTGCGCACATGCTGATTGAGGATGGCCTTCTGGCGAAAGTGCTTGCCGCACTCGGGGCAGGCGAAGGGCTTCTCACCCGAATGGATGCGTATGTGCTGGTTGAGAATGGCGCGCTGCCGGAAGCTGCGCGAGCAGTACGGGCAGGTGAAGGGCTTTTCGTTGGCGTGGATGCGCAGGTGCTGCGTGAGGTGCGACTGCTGGCGGAAGCGCTTGCCGCACTCCGAGCACGGGAACGGGCGGGCGTCCGTGTGGATGCGGTCGTGCTGCAGCAGCGTGCTCTTCTGCTTGAAGTCCTTGCCGCAGGTGAGGCACTTGAACAGCCGCAGGTCGCTGTGCGGCTTGTTCTTGTGCGGGCGTCCCGGGCCGTTGCCAGTCCTCCCGCCGCTCGTCACGCCCACAGAGCCCACGCCCACGCCCGCTCCCGTCGCCCCGCCCACTCCGGCGGCCCCGTTGGCCCCGGCCCCGCCTTCATTGGCATTGGCGTTCGCCGGCCCGGCGCTCTGCTGGCCGTTCTGCTGGGCGGGCAGCAGCTCGGGCAGCGCGTACGCCTCGCCGCCGCCGCCGCCCCCTCCGGCGCCTCCTCCGCCGGACTGCTCCATGGGCAGCACGCCCTTGTTGAGATAGTGGAGCGGCGGGAAGCCGGGGGGCGCCAGCATCCCTCCCTGCGGCGCCGCGTGGCGGGGGGCGTAGTAGTCCGGGGTCTGGAACCCGTTGCCCGGGTCGCTCTGGGGTCCGCCGTTCTGCTGGACGTGTGGGTTGCCCGGCTCGCCCGCATTGGAGCCCGAGTGCTGGGGGTCGTTGCTGCTTTGGTTCTGGTTGGGCGCCGAGTTCTGCTGGTTGGCCAGCTGCTGAAACGGAAACGGAAGGCGGTGTGAGTGGGGCCCTCGGCACAAAACTCCGGCACACGGCTTACCTGGCTCATGGGGTCCTCGTCGCCTGCCCCGTTGGCCCGCTGCTGCTGCTGCTGCTGCACCGAGGGGTACGGGCTCGAGGAGGGCGACACCTGCTGCTGGCGACCGTCGCCGCTGCCGTTGTCCCGGGCCTCCTGACCGCCGCCAGGAGGACTCTGCGGCTGTCCCGCCGCTGCGGCCACCGCTGCCGCCTGCGCAGCCGCCTGGGCCGCGTTCTGCTGCTGCTGCTGCTGCTGTTGCTGCTGCTGGGCGGTGAGGTGCTGCTGGGCCTGCTGCTGGATGTTGGGGTACATGTCGCTGCCCCACTGGGCGGGACTGGCGCCGATGGCTGCGGGGTTGCGCTCCGCGTCCTGCGAGTCCTTGTAGAGCACGTACGGCTGGCCCGTGTCCTGGGTGATGCAGTACATTATCTGGCGCGGCACCTTCAGTCCGGCTGCTATGCAGGCCGCAAAGGAAGCCGAGAAGTTGATGGCCATTGCTGCTGTCCCTCTGGTCGCTTGGTTATTTGTAGGTAATGGCTGTTCTTGGCTTTCTAGATTCGCCTGGCTCTGTGGCTCTTAAGTCGCTTTCGATTGGTTCGAACTTCGAAGTCCCTGCTTACTGACTTCTGATGCACATTTTCGGTTGTCGGGGTTATCCTGGCTTTCTCAGATGTGCTTGGCTTGTCGCCACTGTGCTCACTGCTGGTTATTTGTTTCTCTTCATGTTGATCAAATTTTAAATTCCTTTCTTCTTAAGTGTCTCATTTAATTATTTTGGTTTATAAACTTGTTTTTGTGGTTGGTTCCTCCGCTTATCCGGAAGCCGTTACGCTTGCTTTTTACTTAAAATGAAATTTTATCCTTTGTCTTTGTTGGTCTAAAACGGGTCTCAAAGATGTTTAATTGATGCGATTTTCCTTTGGATCAACTGAAAGGACAAGAGATAATTATTAATTGAGACAGTTTTAAGCACTGATTTCGGTAAGGCTTTAATTTGGGTGTAACAATAAGAGGTCTTGACCCACTAACCAGTTGGTAATAAACCATTCCGTCAGCTTAGCTCTGTGGTTGGCATGCAAAACGCATCCAACGCTCGGCTTCCCTGCAAACCCACAAAAAGTGAAAAGGCCGAAGACATTAGCAGAAATGGCTGGCAAATTAAAAACAATGAAGATCATCAGCGGCTGATTGGGAGGAGTGGCGCACAAATGGACACCGCATGCCAGCCAGCCAGCCAGTTCCCCAGTCCCGCCCGGCGACCCACAAAGCGGTTGTCCACATGTTCCTCCTTTGTTGTCATGCCTTGCCGGTCTGTCTTGACTCACTTGCCTCACTTGCCTCCCTGGCTCCCCTGCCTTTCGCTTTGGCTTCAGTTTGGTTTTATCTGCCTGCTGTGTTATTTTTGTTGTTTAACGACGATGACGACGACGTGCCAACTTTTTAATGCGGGATCAAGGTCTCGGAGAGCGTGCGCCTCGCACAACACAGGCACTCCACAGCCCCGGGCAGAGTTCCAGAGTTCCAGATACTCTGGCGCAGAACGCCATATATCCCCGGACAACCCGCATGATGTCGCGAGTGCTAACTGTTGACTGATCCATTAGTAGGTGTCTCCGCAGTACAAAGCCCAAGTGTTCACTAGTGGTGTAGGCCCTCATTTCAACCGCTTTTCAATGAATGCCATTTGATGTCTCTTCCAACACCACAGAGGCTTCGAATCAAGAAAACCTTGATACCAATCATTCATAATCCAATATACATATGGGCATATACAGGATATTCATATGTGGAATCTTATACCACTGTTTGCCAATCTGAACAACAGCAGCATTTTACTAATAAATAATCCATCAGACATGGTTCAGTAGTTTTTTAAGCTTTTTAAAAGAATTTTCAACGAAAGGACCATTCGGTAGGGATTAGTTAAATTATAATTTATTGATATTTCGTGGACCTAAAAATATTTCTAATTCACTGACTGATCTATATCGAAGCGATCAGTTTTGCATACCCAGTCAGGAATCGGAAACCGAACATCGGGAATCGAGAATCGAGAATCGGGAATCGGGATCGACTATCGAGTGCCGGCGAAGCGGAGAGATCCAAACTACCTTGAACCCGCGAATGAACGCAAGCTGCGCGACACTCAACTCCACACAGATGCATTCGGGCTGCGTTCTCGAGCGATTGCACTTCGTGTCAAATGCAGGAGAAGTATGTACACACATATAAATATACATATACATATACGTATATGTATGTACGCCGTCACGTTGCCGTAGCTATTTGTGAATTATTGCGCTCCATTGGCGGAGCAACAGCATTTGCAATTTATGCGTTCGTTGTCGTCGCAGGTCGCCTTCCATTTCGATTCCGCGTCACTATCTGCAAGCTCGGGGTGTTTACTTTGTTGGCTGCCCCGCCGATCTCCCACCACTTCCCTTGGCCTAGGTCAGACTGTTCTCCGCCCTGCGATCTCCGCCTGCTAGTGAAACAGTCTTACCAGATAGCCGTTCTGTCCCCGGATTTGTAAACATAGAGGATATAGGTTAGAGCAGGGCAAAAAACGATGTTACTGGATATTTTTTCTGGAACATCCACGTCTTCCCTTTCAACCAAGAGATAGAAATACATTTATAGATTAAAATTGGGGGTGTTAACAGCTTTGCGTTTTGCGCAACGGACAAGTTTTTAAAACTAAGTTAATAAAATTATAACTAATTTTTTGGAAGATTGTGATTAAATGTATACGAATAAATTTGATAAGAAAATATACTTCAGACAAGTTAATAAAAAATTGAGTTTGCTAAAGTACACTTTAAAGTAAAAATATACTTCTTTCTTTTACCGCTATATAAAATACAAGTACAATCTTAATGAAATGTTGAAGATATTACATTTACGTTTACTTAAGAGATTAAGAGATTAGAGACTTTAAAAAATTAGAATTTACCGAATTGTAGGTTTTGTTATTTTAGACATTTACATTTGAAATATTAAGAAGTTGCCAAAGATTTTATTCTCTTTCGTATTTTTAAGTCTGATATTTATGCAATTAAATGTCTAAAAATGAAGGAGAAAAAAATAACCCCACTTTATGTTGGAAAAATTCAAAGTATGGAAGTAAACTGTTTATTTCTGTATGTACTCCACTTTTCGACCGCTTATCGCCAGCGAAACTGAGTCGCCAATTTCTGGCTCACGCTTCGCTGGCAGTGAAAGTTGTCAACGCGCCCGTTCCCAGCTGCAGCCGCTGCCCCACCCACCAGTCGTGGTCCACTTAAAGGGGAGAATGATATTTCGGTTTCTATTTCTATTTGAATGGCGTCCAACAGAGAGCTAGCCAATGAGGCCGTAGCTCATTGCCAATAGCGAGCTTGCAGTTTTCGCGCTCGTGCCTCCAGCATGTGCACATGCATCGGCGTGCAGTACGAGTATCCGGTGTCTTGTAACGAGTATCTTCTTGTGCAGCATGTGTCTTGCCTCGGGCCTAAGCCGTCAGGTGTGAAGTAGGTGGAGCCTGCCCGCAGCAGTCCGCCCAGCTGTGCTCCCATTACGCGGTGGCACTGCATCTCTTTGGGCCTGGCTGCACACTCATTGAGGACGTAACCGAAAGCTACTAACACAATGGTCAACACCCCTCACTTCGAGTGAGGGAAATAATCTGGCATTCGACCGTGTCACCCTGCCGCAGCAAAGCAAGATGATCGTCAAGTAAAAGGTCGCATAACTCGAAGCTTAAAATATCTAAGCGGCAAAACAGTTGTATTCCATTTTATTCCTTTTTCCTTTTTTTTAGGTTCTGTTAGTCTTATGCTTGTTGTTTTGCTTGTGCATTTTGTCTTGCTTAGATGAAATGCCCACCAGTTTCAAGTTAAAAACAAATTATATAACGATTGGAAAAGTAGCAACCATTAATGGATATTTGTTTAATTTAATTTCTTGTAAAAACAGAAAGCGGTAGTTCATAACTTTATGACAATTTATAATGTATAAATTTCTGAGATATTTTTTAATCACAACAGTTAACTTTTCCCTTCATAATTGCCTCCTTTGTCAGACAATATTGTTCTTAAGGTAATTGATTTGGTTGATTTTTAAAAATGAGAGCAAAATTCCAGAAACTAAGCTTTAGCTACAGTGATCGTGGGAATGACTATAATAAAATTGTAACATCATTTGTATTAATATTAAAAATCATTTAAATAAAAGAACTGATTTCTTCAAAATTCCAAACCATGGTTGTGGTTTTTTACGGATGATCATAAGTAAATAAATAGTATAATCGAAAAAGACTAACAACTTATGCATTTTTAAAGAAGAATATTTTATTAAAATTTTGAAAGCATCAAGTTTGCTATATCAATCAGTTCGTTGTTCTCATACAAGCGCACTTTAATAGTTGAACCTTCTTTTAATTTTCTGATTTAATGCCTATCTTTTGTACCCTTAACCAGTCGCCAAATAGAACTCGCTTCAAGGTTAAGGCAATAAACAAAAAACACCAAAATACACAAATTGCCAAAAGTTTTTGCGCTTGTTGCTGCACCAGCAGACACAAAAAATGAGCGGCAAAACATTTTGGCGTAATTTGTGCAGCTATCTAATTCAATGTGCAAAAGCTCTGCCAACGACACACACACATACACAACGAAAAGAGCTCCAGAGGGGTCCGAGTGGGGGAGGAGAAATGCGGGGGAAGAGAGCGCACTACAAAGAAAAAAAGAGAGAGGGAGCGCATAAACTACAGCGACAGGTATAGAGATGTGAGAGTAAATAAAAACAAAACGAAAATAAGGCAATAAGTGACTCACAAAACAGCCGAATGGGCATTTTTTCTTCTATTTATGTGTGTTCGGAGAGCGTTTGCAAAAAAAAAACTTTGCTGTCTTAGGCTATCTGCGTTGCTCGTATTTTTTGGCCCACCAAAATAATTGAAAACAGGAATTTAGATAAGACCCATAAGACCCCAATGTCGGCAGTTCTCCGAAGTGGATTATTGTTACCCTTTCAAAGGGTATAGGAAAATTCAAAGGCAGTTATCTCATTTTTAGCCAAATAACCGTATATATGTACATATAATTGGCGCCCAACTCTGGGATTTGTCGTGTGACAACCAACATTTCTACCGGCAACGAACTCATTGCTCGACGGCAAAAGGCAGTTCTACAGCACGCCACACATGAATTAGGAGTTGGAGATGTATCTGTTAGATACACAGGCTAAAAAAAAACGAAAAGACAACTACGACAAACACACACGCACACACAATTAAGTGATTTTGCTTGTTTTATAGCTGAACATTTTGTGGATTTTAGTTTTTTGTGCGAAAAAACATTTTTGCTTATAATTCATCATATTCCTTTATGGCCTGACATTCGCACACATTCGTAGCTACGCGCACACACAAATGCCCTACTCTTTCGGCTCCCTCGCCATCCCCCCTTTTCCATCCCCCAACAACGACTCAACCCAGACACCAAAAATATAAATGAATTCAGCCCCAGGGAGAATTTCGCAAAAAATCGGAGAGCAAAAAAGCAAATAAAAATTGCAAATGATTTGTGGCAATTTTTGTTGTTGCTCTTGCTTTTAGTTTTGCGCCTTCTGCTTTGAGCTTCTCTGCTCATTAGTGCCGTTTTGTGTGTACCCCGTTCCGCGCCCCGCTCTTACCCCCTTCAAACCGCCGCCCCCAGCGAATCTCCTTTGCATTTGTCAACTTGATTTACGCGCAAACATTTTTAGTTTTGTATCTTTATGCTTTCAGTTGGTTTGGTTTGGTTCATTCAATTTTCGCAACCTCTTGCTCCCTCTGGAGTCTTTACCAACTGCAGTTTTATCGGAACGGCGGCCTTCTCATCGAAGATACTAAATATTCGTCGCTTTTATGCGTACAGACTTTGCGGGCTCGTAACTCTTACCATAGGG